GGGGGCCGCCCCCGAGCCCGGCAGGCTCCTTGCGGGGAGCCCCAGCGTGGCCGGGGAAGGGGCGGGGGAGGGGGAGCGGGGAGTTTACGCAAGCCGAGCTGGAGCAGAGAGGGAAGAAGATACAAAGCAGGTCAGTTCTGCTTCTGAGAACCCCCGTTCTTTGGCCAAATCGTACGGCATTTGCCGGAAAGGAAATACTTCTTCAACCGTGTGTTTAGGGAAACAAGTATTGTGTTCCCTGATTTCCCAGCTGGCAAGCCAGCTCTCACATTCCTAAAATATCCAGAGATAAAAATATTAGCAAGGCCCCGAGCCCAGTGTCCTTGTTCGGGCTTGGATTAAATCAGGATCCTAATCCAAAATTGGTGACTGCAAAGAACTTCAGCCTTCCCTGTTCCCAGTTCCTGATCACCTCCAAAATGCTTTGTGCCTGAAGTCAGAATCTGATGCTTCCTTGCTATGCAATTATGTCCGTTTCTGATATGTCCAACTGGCTGTGTTGCAGCATTTTTTATGTTACACCTGTAAGGAGTACGTAGAAGACCTGGCAAAAGTCCCCAAGGCGTTTTTACAAGTAAGTACTCTGCCCTTAATATGTATATGGGGTTGCTGTAGTCGAGATTTGTGATGTCCGGCTGCAGGCTTGTGTGAGGCTTAACCCTTCCAGGAATCAAAAAAAGGCTCAGAAGAAAGTGAGCACTTTCATTGTTTGCTACAATAGCCATAATGCCTAGGAGACACAGGAAAGGATTTATTGCACTACATGCTCTGTTTCAGCAGCATTATTTCCCCCTGCCCTATTAGCTCGGTGCTGGTTTTTCTGCTGTGTTCTGAACAGTTAGACATCCCCTGACAGGCATTTCTTTTGGTATCAGTAGTCGCCCGGGCAGATGTCTTCTCCTGACCACTTACTATTGCCCTTTTCATGATGCCAGTATGGCTGACTGATGGTTGTGCATGGAATAAGATCAGAAAATTGATTTGTATTAAAAATAGTCTCTTTTTCTATGGTTATTTGTAAGCTGCATCGGTTGTGTGACCTGTTCTCCAAGCAGCTGCACAAACAGGAGTGACATAGTGACAGAAAGGAGAAATGGAGTGGGCAGGGGTTGCTATGGACGGGTATTTGTTGGGTGGTAGGAGATACCAGGAAAGACAATGATCCCCTGCTAAACGTGGAAGGTCAATCTGTCTCTTCTAGGCTGCTGATTGAAATTGTCATATTTTATTCCCAACAGCAGCGTAGCCGATGACAGAGACTCAGCTCCTCACTGACAGCAAGCCTTAGATGGACTAGGAACTTGAGGATGAAAAGGGGCAATTTCTTTGCCAGCTCCCTATCTCAGGACAGATGTTTCTTAACTGCTCCATCAGTGTTACTCAGAATGCCATTCTCTTAATTTGGCTACTCAAATAAATGTATACAGAGAATCAAAACTGTCCATGCTTTTCTCAGTGTGAGTATTCTGTTGTTAGGAGGGCTTCTTTTCATAACAAGCAAAATGATTCTATATGGAATAGGCAAGTATTATGCCCTAATATTAAAACAACCTTACATTGGCATCTAAATGAACTTAAGTTTTGGCCTCTAATTTAGACTCAGGCCTAATGTTGCACCTGCAAAAGACAGCAGTACATGTGGATGCAAGTTATATCTATTGATGAGCGTCCGTGTATGTAAATCACAGACGTACGTGTATGCGCACCAACATTTGCATGCTGCTTCTTTAGATGCAGGTGCAACCAAGTGGAAATTTGAATTTCCAAAATCATAGCAGGTTGCAATCAATTGAAAAGATGACACTGCTAATGCTACAGAAAACTTAAAGTTTACACATCTGTAACTTAAAAGTTATCTTTAAAAATAATTTTTCACTTAATTGATGTAGCTGCTAACTGTGGGTGATAGACAAAGGTGCAGGCTCCAAACATGTAAGTGATGTTAATTTCAAATAATTTTAACCCAATGCACTGTGATCATTAACGCAGGACGCCAGATTCTGCTAATGCTTTGCAGTCATGCAGAAACACCGAGTTCCTCTTTACAGTTTCGATACCCATGCTCTGTTCTAGGAAGCAAATGTGAGGCTTATAGTTATTGGACAGTCATCTTATCATCACATCAAGGTAAATAAAGTAGTCATTAAGTACATTGTATCCTCTATTGTGTCTGCATTGAGGGATTTCGCTCTGAGTGAAAAGACGGTCATTTGCAACCACAGAAAAAGAGGACAGTGTTCTTTTTCATGAAGGAATTCTAATAGTAGTACATGAATAAAGCAAATAACTAAAACTTCCAGTTTAAAAACCACTAGGGCTTGCTAAGGAAACATCTTTTCTCGATTTCACTGGAAGTTTTGTTTCAGTAAAAGATTTGGGGCTAGAAATTTTTGGCCTTTAATTTAACATGACAAATCCACAGGTTTCCAAATCGGGGGGGGTGGCGGGATGGGGGTGGCGGGGTGTCAGTATTTTTTCCACTGTGAGTAGATCCTGACTAATTACTGTCTAAACCTTAAAAATATTACTTTTTTTGTATGCATATATTTTGCAGCCCTTTTGCAATTTAACTGGGTATACACACGAAATGTATGTAGATCCACAAAGGGAAATTTACAAAACGCTTGGCATGAAAAGAGGTGAAGGTAATAATGTATCAGGTAAGAATAATTTTCTCACCTTGTTTGGACTTACACAGACCAAAAGAACACCCTGATAAAATAGTGTGATCACAATGTAAATAGAAAGGGAGCTGCCCATCAGACCATCCCTTGTAGGCTATATTTTGTCAAAACACTTGTAATCAGGAAACTAAACTATTCATAGCAGCTGTTCGATTTTGTTGTTCTCCTTGTACACTTTTGTATTTCTAGATAACAACTATTTTGCTGTTTTGTTTAGTGCGGAGCCCTCATGTGAAATCAAACACACTCCTGGGAAGCATTAGGAGCATGTGGAGAGCAATGACTGGCCCAGCTTTTGACTTTCAAGGAGATCCCGCTCAGCAGGGAGGAGCTTTGATTTTAGGCCCAGGTGAGCTGCTTTGTTTTGTGGGAAAGTTACAGTCCTCTCCTTTAGCTGTTCACTTTAATGCTACCATCTCGGCTGCTGTCCCTGTGGATCCCAAGGAGACAGGCTTGTGCTGAATGGTGTGATTTTTGCCGGTTGAAGGAACCTGTGGCAGTGTTGTTGCATAGTCCCACCTCCCACAAAGGTGGCACAAAGCTGATCACACTCCTGCAGAAATCGATGGGAGTGCTGATGGAACAACAGCCTCGAAGTTTGGAGGGTTTTTTTTTTGACATCATGGTGTTCACCGAGATTCTGCTTTCACATTTGATTCTAGGCATTTAATGTGGTTTTAGCGGAGGAATAATGCATGAAGGGGGGGCTGCAACATGACGAAGTCATCTCATCAGATCATTAAGAAACATCATGCTACAGCAGATTTAATTCAGTTAGATGCCTTAATGTTCCTGGCGTCTATAACTTAATTAAAAAAAATATCTTTGTCATTGTTTAAAATACAGTATATTGTGCAATCTGTGGAGCTAGTACACATTTGTACAAGAACTAGTAGGAAATCAGAATGCTTCTTTGATTCACTTATGTGAATCAATAAAATCAATAAATTTGAATAAATAAATATTTTATTCAACTATTTACACATTATTCTCATTTCATTCCAGGCAACGAAGTTCATTTTTTGCACCTTGATAAAAACAGGCTGGATCATGTTCCCATTAACACGGTTTTGCAGCTGGCAGGAGTTAAAACAGTAAATTTCACAAACAAACCCCAGATTATTGACATATGACACTGACACAATATATAAATTTTTTTATTTGTGCTTTACAAGAACAATTATCCAGCGAATTCCCACCAGCATCAGTACTGTTGTGTCTTTATGGGACATCTGAAACCTTATCTAGAAAATCAGAGCAGAGAATAAGCTACCTGGCACTGAAGATGGACACGAAAGTGCTATTTCCATTGTGTACAAGGGAACAAAAACTAAAACGCAACTGAGGCTTATTGCAAAAAATCCTGTAGCTTATTATTTACCCATCAAACAATCTTGCCAATATATTTTAAAAATCTTTGTTCAAGACACAGTAAACTAAAATATCTGGTTTTGCTCAGGACGAACTTGGGATTCTTGCCTTCAGCAGATCACACTGGCTTTCAATCCAATACTTCTCAGCGATGTTTTGAAGTTTCCAGCACTGTGTGACAGTCTTGTATTAAAATATACCTTGAAAAATCACAGTTTCAAACACTGGCACTTAAACTTATGCCTACTTTTGCATCTGGCATTGGCAGACATTATGAAGTACATTTTATAGTTTTAAATAAATATTTTAAATACCTCATCCATTGTCTGCAATTCTTTTGTGTCATACAAAAAGCTTCATCTCTAAGACCAGGGAGAGGTGTGTTGTAAACATATTTCTGATCAGATTGTCAGTTTTGGGGTAGGCCATAGTCAATTACTTGTTTTCCTATGAAGATTTGCAGCAGAATATTCTCCCTTGTACGTATGTACTTTCTCTCAGAGCAAGAGGTCTCTGAAAAAATGTCCTTAGTTATATCTGTCCTAGACAACTGAGCTAAGGAACACAACATTTTGATTTGCAGTTTTGTCAGATTTCATATCCTCCATTTTTCTAGAAATGTTTACGTTCAGAATCTATTGCTTTCATTAAAGTAGATGTGCCCTCTTTCATCCACAAGCCACTTCTTTTTAGCAATTTCAAAATAAGATTGCCCGAGATTTATGGAGGAGCATATCCTCCTCTGCAGTTTCTGGTCTTTGACCTTCACTGTAAAATACTACTATTCATACATATCTCACCTGCAAATTCTTTCCCCTTTTAAGCTTTAATACTAATGCAATTGTAAAACGGCATCCTGTGAAGAGGTTTGTCCCTGCATCCATTAAGGACACTGGCAGGCCCAGAGCAAGCTGCAGATTGCTCTACAGCATTAAAGAGTATGTGAAATTAAATGCAGTGTTCCTTGACGAAAAATAAAAGGCTTGCTTAAGAAACATAACGGTACTGAGCAATGTAATTCCATTAAAGGTATTATGCCTTAGCACCTTATTAATTACATACACATTTTGATACGGTATGCTTAGAAGAAGGATATTATTCATGTAAAAATACTGTTTTCAGTTCCGTGCTTTGACTAAACAGCACTTGGCCCAGGGCTAAAAGTAGCCATGTGCAGACTCTGAACCCGCATGATCTCAGGGCTGGCCAGAGGCTTCGTCGGCTCTTGGCACAGTGCACCGGGACGGGCAGCTGAGGCTCACAGGGAAGGAAAGCCCGCTTGTCATGAACCGCTGCCCCTACATTCACAAATAAGGAGCTGCCCCCTCCCTCCAGGGCTCCCCCAGCTCACCGGTATTTTTGAGCATGGCGGAAACTCTGGAATGAAGCTGCCTCTATGTTACACAGCAGAAACCAAGCTAGAAGACTGGTCTTAGTTTGTAAAACAAAGACAAGAAATGCAGAAACCTTAAATTATTTTCACAGAGGAAGAACGACAAATATTATTTGTAGTGCTTCCACGCTGCTTCATTCACCTGATCATCACCGCCAAGGACACTGACTCTAGTTCCACTGTTGTTTTGCAGTCATCTCACTTTCATGTTCTCGGTGTTTCTGATTTCAAAAGAAGTATTTGGCTAGCTGTTTTTCTGCGTGTTTTGCTTTCAGTAGAATTAAAATAATATTCAATAGGAATAGTTCTATTGCCACGAATACATTAAGTAAAACTAACTGTGGCTAAAAGAACTGCGGACTTTTAAAAGGGCGTGGAATGAATTAACCTGCAGTTTGACAGCTGCGTAGGTTGAAGTCATCCACCCTCACCATTTCCATACTGACAGGAACCACACCACGGCCTCTGTGTTATCCCAGCAAAATCACCTCTTCAAAAAGATTCACAACGTGCAGACAAACAAAAAGAGGGAGGAAGAGAGAGAGGAGGATTCAGCAGAAGAGCAATCCCAATTAGGGCATCGGCCCTGCATTTTGCATCGGGCCGCAGCCTCGCCGAGTTCGCTGATGCCCCGCGAGACAGCGGTTCCCACGCGCATCGTGAATGGCAACAACGATGGCCACATTCACCCACGGGAGAAACGGTTTGCCAAGCGTCAGCAGAATTTTAGGCCTCTGGTGTTATTTAGAAAAAGCATTTTAAACAAGTTACGCAGTGAAAGGTGGAAACCGGTGGGAGATAAAACACTGACCTCACACGCAGCAGATGGCAGAATACTTCAGCAAGGGCTTTTGTCACGGCCAATCAGAGAGAGGTGGGGAGGGAGCGGTTTTCAGAAGTTGTTTTAACTGCGGGCTTGACTTATTTCAACACCTACTTAAAATAACGGCGCGTTTTAAAGCGTCGCTGTGTCTGAGCAGCAGACTCAAACCCCGCTATTTTAACGTTCCAGATAAACGCATTTAACGTTCCGACCAGCAGGAGACGGCGCGTGAGGCCCGCTGAAACCGGGCCGGTGCGCGCCGTCACGTCCCCTCGGGACCCTCTGTTGGTTCGTGGCGCGAGGGGCACCTGCAAGACCGCGGCGCCCCGGGAAACCCAGCCGCCAACTCGCACCTCCGAGGGCGCCG